TTTTAAACCGGTGGGAATATACACAATAGGCCTACCTGATATTGAACACAAGAGGGCAGTATAGCACTACGTATGACTCAGATTATTATTTTTTTATGAATTTTACAACAATTCTGGCTGTTTTTGAACGTAAACACAATTCTTAAATGAAAAAAAGGAAAAATTGGGGAAGTTATAATATTTGTATAATTTAATTTAGAAACAAATGATGTATAATTACATTTTTAGAAGATATGAGGCTTTTAGTGTTTACTTTTTTGACATTACTTTAAATCTTTGCCATAGTTGCACATGTCTATTGGCTAATAAATGTGATGTATCTGTTGAGTTTCAAGCAATTTCAAGCATGCTAAGAGTCCAAAAGCATCAAAAAAGAATGTTAAAGTTTGTTTCGTTGCCACGGCAACAGTATCAAAGATATCAAAAATTCATTCACAGGTCTACATCTGCCGTGTATTTACATTATACAGATGAAGTTTGAAGCAAATCGGTTAAAAATAAGAGAGTGGTTTCAAAGCATTTTGAAAGTGACACACTTCCTGCTGCCAGTTGGTGGCGCTATAACTTTGACTCACAATAGTCACATCCATGTGATCGGTCTCTTACAGCGAAAACACTGCTGAAGTTTCATCAAGATCAGTTAATGTATGCTGAAGTTATAACACACTTCCTGTTTCACGTTTCTCGCCATAATTTCGTTTCCTCGCCACGGCCAAACCGTTTGAGATATCAAAAATCCCCTCACAAACTTTCATCCTCAATGTCTTGACTTCTTGCACACCGAGTTTGGTTGTGATTGGTAAACACATGCGTTGTAATTTGATGTATTTCTCCTAGGACAACTATTCAAACAACCCATAATTCTCAACTTCCATTTTAATTGTCGTAAAACTTAGAGCACGAAAGTTGTTTGGCCTGATGTGATCTATAATTGTACCGAGTTTCATATTAATTCACGCAAGTGTGTTTGATTTATGGACAAATGTTCGAATCCCAGTCCAGGGGGCGCTGTCGAGCCGCCCTGCCACGCCCGATGACCAGCTTCAGCCCGGCCCTGATGGCCATGGGTTCTGACCCGTGTGCAAAGTTTCAAGAGTTTTAGAGGATGTTAAGGCCCCCGAAAATGCCAGAGAAGTCGCACACAGCAAATAAAGGGTTAAAATTAACCTGACAGGCGCCCCTCCTCTCACTCACACAGAGAGACACTGAGAGACTGGCAAAATTCTAAGATTTTCTCTACATTCAAACAAAGATATCTGACTTTCTGTGGGTCCTAGCTAATGAGTGTCAATTAGAAAGTTGTCCGGCTCGAGGAGTACAATATACATACCAATTTTTGTAACTCTA